TCGGCCTTGCACTCGGGAAGTTGAACTGTCAGCTTTGTAAGGAGTACGGTATTATCTCCATAGTTGTTCTCTGTGCCAAGCGTCCAACGATCCACATTCACATGACCCTAAACAGAATGGGTTCATCATGTAGTTTGTCAAAATTACTAATCTTGAATCGTAAATCTAATCTCAACTCAACTCTAAGTTACCCTAAATTGTAATCCTGTATGATAATTTATTTCTTTATCATGTAATTTTTGAACCTGTAATTCGATTTATTGTAGTTTAATTTTTTTTTTAATACAACCATAACTTTTTATCGTTCATAACTATTAAATGGTGCATTGTTTTTGAATTATGTTTCACCAGTACAAAATAATATTACTTGATTGTCTATGTAGGTTTAGTCATTTATAGTTCCATAATAGCACCTCATTTAGCATTTTGGCCTAAAGCCCCTACTAGTGTCAGGCCACTCCTGCCACAACCACCATCTCCTCCACTGTCAATAACGAAACAAGTTTAGTTAATTTCGTTGTCTTCCCCCCTCCCCCCTCAAAAAAAAAAAAAAAACCAAAAAACACACACACAAGCAAAATGACATCTCCTCTGCAACACATTGAATGATGGAATTGATTGTTGATGACCAGAAGGGTTTGTGTTGATAGGTTTTGTGGTTAACTTTGTTATGAATAATAGAGGTGCTGGTGATTTTTTGTTGTTTATCACTGTGAGCAGGTGATTGTGGTGGTGTTTGGAATAAAACAGATGGTGGTGATCTTGAGTTATCTTTTCCTATGACTAGGTGGATGTTTCTAAAATAACAAGTGGTGATTTTGTGGTAGTAAAATGGATTCATGGTGGTGGAGGTGGCTTTTTGAGTGTGCTAGGTTTGGGTGGATAGGTTGGGAATGTTATGGGCAAAAGAGAGCAATCGGTTTGTACAGATCAAGGGGTGGTGGTGGTGGGACTTTAATGTTTAGGGATTTTTGGGATGAAATTAGTAGTGGGTTTATTTGTATCGGTGTGTGTAGAGAGAGGAAGGAGAGATAGTGATTTAAAAAGTAGGCAATTTATGGGGTTCTAATGGAAATTTCAAAATTATTGGGTGCTTGTGGTATTTTTTGTTGGTATGGAAGTGGGTCCCATATTGGTGGTTTTGAAATTTTGCAAAAGAAAAAGTGACAACATCACCAAAATTAGAATAAAACACACGGGGGCTATGTGTTATTACCTTATATTACCATGATTCACTTAGTATCTTTAATTGTCCAAAAAGAAAAAAATTGTAGCACTCTCAAAACGTGGTCAATCATTTCTATTAATCTTTCAACAACAAACTATTTGTTATGATGACAATGACGATTGCAGTGACCCAAAGAAGAAGAATAACATGGTTTTAACTCATGCTTTTCAATTTTAAAAGCATATGTTGCAAATATGTTTTCACATGAAAGAACATGATTTCAAACTATGTTCTATTGTAAACAACGATAGATTACTAAATAAGTTAGAAATCACAATACATAAGGAATGACATCACGATAAAACGAAAATTTAGCCAAAAAATCGATTTAATATCCAATAATTCCCTCTTAGATCTGACCGAGTGTACTACTATTTATTTTTTTTCATCTATATCTCTCATTCATTGCTAAGACTTTTACTGCTCGTAGTGGAATTTCAACTATATCGTCTGTAACACATTTATTCAAACTACACCTAATCATAAAATAGACACACTGATTTAATTGATGTCGTTGGAATCGTAATATTGAAAATTACTCAACCCTAATAGTGTTATTCCACCAAAAATAAAGATTGATGGAATCTAAATGAATCAAAAAAGCACCCTAATGCATTCAACTTAACAAGGATTAGTGCACATACTTGACCTAATGAAAAGTATTTTTCTTCTTTTCGTGTGCATGGGCCCCAAGAAAAGCTCACATTCACCCCCTCTTCCCATCCCCCATATTTCACTCAAATCAGTCTTTTTCAGTTGAATTCTAATTGGTTGAAAGGCCACGCACACAAGCATAGTTGAAAATATTCGAAAATTGTGGTTTCTACCTCTCTTTTGCTTTTTGATAAATGAAATGAGATTTGATATATACCAATTTTTATTTTCAACAATACCGTAACTGAGATGTATAATATTGTTTTTAGAATGAAATTTGATCATTATGTAGTTATCAAACAGAATTTGTAACAAAGGCATGTAATTTCTTTTTTAAATGAGATTTAAATTCAAACAATATCGTAACTAAGATATGTAGTCCTCTTTTGTATGCCTTCCTGCCCCGCTCCCCTCGCATCCAAAAAAAAACTTCTCACTATTTTTTATTTTTGTCTTTTTTATTGGGATGAGAGTTGAGAGAGGGGAAGTATTATTCTTGGAATTTTAAGTTTACACTCCTAAAAGCTTTGATAAAATGATATGAAATCACCTAATATTTGAAGGTCACTTTCAAGTATTATTGAGTGTTTTGTTAGTTTTACTAAATCTGATGAAATATAGACATAATTTACCTACAAATAATGTTAAAAGCAGCCTTAAAAAGCCAAATAAATGCAAGCATATCTTTAAACCTAGTGGTCACCTTCGATTTTCTAAAAATTTTACCAATCAGAGGTCAAAGATTAATCCCGATAAAAGTAAAAAATTGATTTTTTATGTTCCAACTTTGGCGTTTTTCGGGTCCCTCTTAGTTCTTTTGTGGATAATTTTTTTTTTATATTATAGTTACATCATTCGAAAGTTAGAACAATTAATCATGAAAAGACAAATACAAGCATATTGAACACTATTAGAGAATAAAGAGGCAAACATTGCCAAAACTTCAACTTATATACAAGATTCTAGTTCAGCCAAAGAGCTAACAAAGAAACAACATTTGGAAATATACAAATGATATAATTAACAGAAAACGAAACTGAAAAGAACAACATAACATAGAGGGCGATTAGCAGGTAATAACCATTGTCCGGTTTGAACCGTAACTATTTATCTAAAAGGGTAGTCCGTCACTAGAGCATCACCAAAGCCTACCAGTTGTAGTAAAAAATATTAAAACTTATCTTCTTCTTTTTTTTTAATATCAAATTACTATTCTTTTTCAACTTTATTCCATATTTATGCGATTTTTATTCTATTCTTGAATATACCGTTGTTTACATGAAAACATGTTTGAACTCACACTTTTAAACAAAAAAGTGTGCGTTTAAATCACGCTTTTAATAAAAAAAACTTTAAAAACGTGATTTTCAAACATACGTTTACATTTAAAAAGCTGGATATAAACCAACGTAAACATTGATATACTGAAAAATAAAATAAAAATCGCGTGCACATGGAATAAAAACACAAAAAAGAAAAAAAAGCATAATTCGATAGTTGATTTGGTCAATGTTGCTCCCTAAGAAAAGTCAGTACCTAACTTTCTCTTTCACATCCTTCTCAAAGCATGTAATTGTTGGTATTCTGGTTCTCATTCGAGGAAGAAGCCCTAGGCCCATCAGGGACCTCCATGTCTAGTCTGCTCCTTCTGGAGTTGTTAACTCTCTGGACAAAGGCATCACCACTTTCACTACCATTCACAGAGAACATGTAGTTTTGATGTTGTTGGTTTTGTTGTTGTTGTTGCTGAAATTGAAGATGATGATATGCTGAAGGAACCATGGTTGCAGTAGGGATTACAATCTGCTGACGATTTCCGAGTTCGAAGTTAAAGTTGGTTCCTCTCGGAATTGAATATTGAGAACCACCCGGGACGAATGGTACTCTTGGACCGCCCGTAAATTGTTGCACCATAGCCCTAAAATTGGTCGTGTCCGTGTTGAGTAGGGTGGTTGGGGTTCGCCTAGAAGCCCTCGACCGTCTTCTAACGGGTTTCGAAACACGGCCCTCCGGGTTCAAGTGACTACTAGAACCCGGAGGAGTCGGGGCGGTGGGAGATGTGAGAGTGGTGGTTACCACGGTGGCTTCGGAAACTCGATCATTAAATATGGTGGCCGGGGTTGTTTGGGATTCATGGTCAGCAGAAAAGTTGTGGTGGTAGAATTGCATCCAGCCTGTGTGGCTAGACATGTTTTCACTTGTAGCCATAGAAGAGTATGGTTGAGTATTTGGTATGAAGGAAGGAACAAAAGCATAGGGTGATGGTCTTTATATGACTATGGTGACACATAACTCCGGGTCAAAATAAAGACTTTTTGGCTTGGATCATCATAGCCATTCATTTCTTTGGAGGAGATGACACGTGACTAGGCACGTGGATCTACGGCGGAAAATGTTTGGCATATGGTGGGTTTCTCGAAGGATAATAATAATACAATTTATAACCTATAATATAAAATAGAGGAGATTACAATAAGTTCATCCGACAGTTTCAAATAGATTCATCAATGGTTATCAACATTTCACTCAAAATCATTAACATTGTACTGTGCTTTCAGGCACGAGTTATCCTTAATTTTAATATAAACAAAAACATTAATCAATAATGTACCATAGAGCTAATAATTGAGTCAAACTACTCAGATTCGGCTTGAATAAGACTCGATTCGAGACGAATCGAGCTTGAATAATTTTTTAGAATTGTTCAGAAAATGAGCCTAAAAAACTCAATTCGAACTTACAAAATTTGATTCGATTATATGTAAAATAGTCGAGCTACTCCAATTCGACCGGAGTTTGGCTCATTTTTGGGCTTGTCTTAGCTCGATTATCAGCCTTATCAGTAATGACTATAAGTAAAATTTTTGAAACAAAATTTAGATATAATGTCAAATCAAATTTGAAAAAAAGTGGACATTAAATAAAAATTGAAAAAAGTTTTAAAATGTCATGTTGTCAAAGTAAAAAACAAATTTCAAAATTTTAGTCCCAAGATCAAAGCATCAGCAGGGAAACATGGTAAAAAAAACAAAAAAAACAATTATACTATATATTATTACTCACAAACAAATTAGGTAGAGAAGTCTTGGGAGGTCTTTTTTTTATTTTCTTTTTTATTTATAGTTTTTACTTTTTGTAATTAAAATAGAAAATTTAGACAATCACATTTTGTCACATGTTTAATGCAATCACCTTATAATTTATATCTAATATATCAATTAATGGGGTAAAAAATATGTAAAAAATGGAAAAATAAGTTTAAATTTGAGGTGAAAAAAATTAAAAATAAAGTATATGCATCGCACGGTATTATCCGTACTAATCTCTTATATACACCATTTGATGTAATATAATCTCAACTATTAAACATCCCAATAAACTTAATAACACCCAAAAATCTAATAATTCATATCAATAGTACTACACACACTACTTTTTTACACCACTTTAACATAGATCGTTAAATTTGTAGGTTCTACATAATTTATTAAATATTCAACGACTCTGATTATGCCGGTCCTTATTCAATTAATATTGAGGTGGTTGAATATAAACTAGGTTGGGTCGGAAGTTCTTGGACGCAACGTCCAAAGGGGGGAATGGGATGACGTCATCATATGATAGGGCACGTCAGCAGGAAGACTGGCGGG